GGGTCTTCTCTACTGTAAACACGTTTTTCTCTAGTTGTGGCGAGCGGGGGCTACTTTGGTCGTGGACTGCGGGCTTCTCATTGTGGCTTCTCCTGTTCTGGAGCTCGGGCTCCAGGGCACACGGGCTTCAGTAGTTGCGGCTCGAGGGCTCAGTCTTTGCGGCTGCCGGGCCCTAGAGCACAGGCTCAGTAGTCGTGGTTTGTGGGCTTAGTTGCTGCAAAGCATGTGGGATCTTCCTAGATCGGGGATCGAACCCACATGTCCTGCCTTGGCAAGCAGTTTCGTTCCCACTCAGCCCCCAGGGAAGCCCCTGAAGGGGCATTTTAAACAAAAGTCCACCCAAAACTCCACGTCGCCAGGAAAGATAAGAAGAGACTTGACATCACGGGTCATCCGGGAAATGCAAATGCAAACCACAGTGAGCTCCCACTTCACACGCAAGAAGGGATTCTCCCTGATCCTGTCTTTGCAGAGTTTAAAGATGGGGAGCCAATCTATGTGCAGAAGACAGGACAACGGTGCCCTATGTGGAGGACCACTAGAAAGGGCATGATGGAAGCTTCTGGAACCTAGGCCTCTCTGTCAATCTGGGTGCTGGGTACCTGTGAGTGTTCAGTTTGTGGCAATTCAAGGAGCTGCACATTGACACTGCACATAGTTGTGGAGACAGTGGCTCCGCACTGTGGGAGTGTGGTTAACCCCACCCTCATGGCCCTCCAGCCTGACTCGTTGTTCCTAGACACTGCCTTCTAATCCTTAGAACACCAAACTCCTATCTGCCTCAGGGCCTTTGCACTCGCTGTTCTCTCTGTAATGGACCCTACTCCCCACATGCATCCTTTCTGCTTATTTAATTTCTGCTTCTCCTTTAGGGTTTGGTGTAAACATCACCTCTTCCAGGAAGCCCCCCTGGATTCCTAGGCAAGGGCCAGGTTCTTGTGGCTCCTGCACTTCTTCCTCATGTTCATCATAGCCAATTATTGGATGTAACTGTGTGATCATACTCTCTTCCTCCATGCTCCACTGGCAGGGACCATGAATGTTTTGATCACTGTGGGTTCCCAGGGTGTGAGTTAGTGCGGTTTTGAGCTTCTGTCTTCAGATAGAAGGAAGGAAGGAGGAGAGGAAGGGAGGGGAAGATGAATGGATCCAGTTCTCTACAGCAGGGACAGAGGTTACAGGAGTCAATGTGCTATCACTCCAAGGTGTGAGCACCCTGTCCCAGGAGGGTGTGGGCACAGCCCTGGCAGGGATAATGTCCTAAGACTGCCAAAGCTGATGAGGAATAGGCCTGGGGAGGAAGGGGTTGGGCCAGCTCAGGGCTCACACCTTCCAGCGGATGTTGACGGGGAGTATAGGAGGGTAGGTGTCACAGGAAGTCCTCGAGTCCCTGGGCTGCGGCTGACTCACCTGGTGTTTGATAACACTCACAGGTCAGACTTGAACCTTGTTCTCCAGGGGTCCTGGGGGAAAGCAAGTGTCATATCCTGAACACAGGAGGCGCTGAACTGGAGGAGGAGCAACCCAGTCCTAGGATCAAACAAGGCTTTCTATAGGCTGGGGCTTTGGGGGCTGGGCTTTGACATGTGAATGGAGTTCACAAAGGGCAATTTAGAGAGGGCTTGACAGAAGGGTATGTGGGGAGAACTGCAAACATTTGATGTGGCTTGGCCCTTTGGAGTCCGTAGAAACCTCAGTCCGGAGGTCTGGGCTCAACAGCATTTCTGCTCTGGTCAGCTCTCAGCAGAGTACACGGAGGGCCCAACTGGGGAAGACCCCAACTGGGGAAAACCCCAACTGGGGTGGGCGTGGGCTCGGGGGAGCCCTCAGCACAGCTCAGAGGGGGCTATGTCCTTACCCCTTGGAAGGAACGTGCTGGGCCTTGAATTCAGGTCCATGTGTGCAGGTGGGGAGACTGAGGTGGGCAGGGTCTGCGCGAGGCTCGCAGAGCTGGGTTAAGCTGGGTTCTAGAGCCCACAAGGGCAAGAGACAGGCCCTCCTGGGAGTCGGACACAAGCTTACCAGGCCAGCCTCTGGTGCTCAGCGCTGGGGGTTCCGTGACACCCATCAGAACCGGTTGGAGACTAGGGACAAGAACTCTGCAGCAGGCAGCGGCTGCAGGGCCTCTGGGCCCCCTCCCCCACGTGGCCAGGAGCCCCCTCCCCTCCTCCCCAGCCTCCACCTTGGCCCAGAGAAGGGAAGCAAGCTGCAGGGTCACAGAGCAAGAACGTCTCCTTGGAATTCAGCCAGGAGGTGGAAAGTGCTTCCTAGGCTGGAGATTAGCTGGCGCCCAGGATGCCTGGGGCGGGTGTGTTCTCAGAGGACTGGGGCATAAACTCAGGAGCTGGGACTGCGTCAGCAAGGGTAATGCAGAGCCATAGAGGGTGTGGGAGCAGGGGAGGGGCGGGGCCACAGGCGAGGCTCCGGCGGCTGGCTCTACCTTGTGAAAGGGCCCAGGGGGCGCCACAGCAAACTGTCGCCTCACAGGTCAGATTTCTCTCTGCTTCTAGCCAAATAGAAGTTCGTAGTAGAGATAGTTTTGGTTTAGTCACTAAGTCGTGTCTGACTCTTGCAACCCCATGGACTGTAGCCTGCCAGGCTCCTCTGTCCATGGGATTTTCCAGGCGAGAATACTGGAGTGGGTTGTCATTTCCTTCTCCAAAGGATCTTCCTGACCCAGGGATCGAACCTGGATCTCCTGCATTGCAAGCAGAATCTTTACCTACTGAGCTACGAGGGAAGCTACACAAATAATAACAGCCATGAGAATGATAACTTGTTTGTCTGTGATACGCTCACTTTTCTGATGCTCTCTAATTTGACTCTGTCCCCATGGCAACCCCAAGACGCAGGAAGGGGCATACCTGTCATCTCTGTGACTCTGGGCAAGTCCCTTTCCCTGGAAAGGGCCTCCGTTTTCTCACCTGTGAAATGGGGGTGAAAACTGTGTGGGGCTGCTGGAAGGATGAAATCAGAGTGTGAGTCAAGGGGTCGAAAAGCACAGAGTGGCTGGGCTGTGGTCACTGCTGCCTTTTTCCCGGGAAAGAACAGGGGACCAGGGGCCCCTCTGTGGTACCTGCTCACAGTTGGTTTTAGAGTAGTGCGTGGGGGGTGTAGGGAGGAGGAGAAAGGCGGTCATGGATCAACTGATAAGCCAAGCTTCCTGGCTCTGCCCAAGCCCATTCCCAGGGTCCCTGTGAACAGAGGGCAAAGGGCCAAGGGCAGGGGCTGGAATCCGGCCGCCCCCCGTCATCAGGGGCGCTCTCTAGACTTAATCATGACGGTGACCTTTCCCCAGGGTGGACTGGGTGTGGTGCCAGCCTTCCAGCTCAGGAATCCGCAAGTCTACATGTATTGCCCCCACCTGTCCCCACCCTCCACTGAACTGTCACCTCAGGCCTGGGGTTGGGAGCAGGTATCTGTTACGGGCCTAGCCTGACCTTAGCAGCCCCCACACCTAGGAAGGACGGCCGGGTCTTGCTGACCCCAGAGGAGGGAGGGGGATGTGTGAGCATCATAGGGTGCTTGCAGGCGGGCTGGACCAGAATCCCTGGGCCTTGCCACAGCCCCCGCTTCTGTCGCTCAGCTCCTTAGGCCTGCGAAGTCCCTTCAAGGCCGGGGGATCTCAGAGCGGGGCTCAGGAGAAGGACACGGCACTCATGAGGGCTTTCTTCGGGCATACCCAGGCCAGCACTCTGTGTCCAGACCCTGCAGTCCAGGTTCCGGTGGCCACACAGCACAGGAGCAGGGCCTCGGAACCACCCCGAGCTACGCCCTGCTCTGTCTGGGCCTCAGTGTGTGCATCTGCAAAATGGAGCCCAATGGCCTGGGACCAGCCTCCCAGGGTCCCAGCTGGACCCTGGACCACCGGGTCGGGCGGAGTACTGGGTTCTCAGAACTCCATAGCCCATCCTGGCCCTCCTTCCACGAAGCAGCGCAGGCTCGGGGTGGAGGCCGTTGAAGGTGGAGAACTTTCTCTGTTGGTGTCTGGGCGGGGACACTGCGCTGCGGGACAGAGGCCCTGACTCTCCCAAGTCAGGGGGAGGGAGGGTGTCTAAGTCGTATCAGAGGGTGGACGGTCCACCCGGACACCCCAGGTAAGCCTGGGGCCCCAAGGTGAGCGTTCTCAAGCCCATCCCCTGGGAGGCTGGAGCCCGGGGCGGGCCGGCTACCCAGCCGGGGCGCAGGCCCCGCCTCCCCGGGCTCTGCGCTCGCGGCCCGGGTGGGGAGGTCATTATCTGGCGCTCCCAGGCCCGCGCGGCTCACGTGGCCGCGGCTCCGAGCCTCCCGGGTTCCAGGGCCGCTCAGCTCGCGAGGAGATAAGCCCCGGCGCCCCCAGTGTGTGTCCGGCGCGGGCCGGCCGGGGCTGCAGGCCCCCACCCCGCCCCTCGGGCGGGCCCGGCCCTCTTGGCCCAGCTTCCTTTCCATAAAAGGCGAGGTTTGGGAGCGCCCGGGGAGGGGGTGCTGGCCCCACAGGCCCGGCCGGAGAGGGTGGCCGGAGCTGCCCACCCCCTGGCCCCTCCCCCCCGGGAGCCGCTGCGGCCCTGGAGGACTCAGGGTGGGGAGGGGGGCGCAGCCCAGCGCCCGAATTTTCTAAATCGCTGCCTCTCTCTTCCCAGACCGCCACCCCGAGCGGGCTCCCCACTCCAAACCGGACCCCCTGGAGTCCCCCCGTTGTGCATGTGAACACAGTGAGGCCCGCGGCGTGGCAGGGCCGGGGGGCGGGGGCGGAAGAACAGCTGGAAACGCCAGCGTGCCCCAGGGTCACGCTGCGACGCAGGTGCCAACAGAAATCTATTCCGTGCCGGCCCTCTGTGCGTTCCGATACCCCTAGGATTGGGGTACCCGCTCCCAGACGTCCTTCGGTGCCTTGCCACTTAGCTCCCCGGACCCTCAGTTTCCCATCTGTTAAATAGGGAGATGGTTTTCATCTCCCGAGTGTGTGCAGGTGTAAAGTGCAACAGCCAGCCGGCGCAGGTGAGGGGGGAGGGGGAGGGGAGATGCTTCTGCCACCCGTTTCCCACCGCCACCCCGCCCCCGAGAGAGCCCTGGGGTTCGCGGACCCAAACCCGCACTCAGAGGACTGGGAGGCCGAGAAATCGAGGCCAGGAGACAAACAGTGAGTGCTCAATAAATGCAGCTCCGCGCCCTTGGAGGTGTGAGTCATGCTGTCCTGGCCCTGGGCTGGGAAGCAGGGCCTTTGGGTGTCATCGGGCGCCACCCCGCCGCGGTGCGAGGTGACCCCGGCAGGACGCCACGCCTCCCCGGCCTCAGTTTCCCTCTGGGTGAATGGGGAGGCCGGGTCTGGCCAGCTGGGGGTGGGGAGGGGGGGAGCGGGCCAGAGGATGGGCGGCCCTCCGGGGAAGTGCCCGAAGCTGAACCCCCACCTCCGCCGTCTGCCGCCCTCTCCCAGCCGTGCCCGCAGCCCCCTCGACCGGGGGGCCCGGGCAGCCACGTCCGCCGCCGGCGAGTCAGCCATAAAAGGCAACCGGCGGCGCGGCGCGCGGCCAAACTTAGTCATCCGGCCCGCGGGCCGCCGTGCGCGCGCCGCGCTGCTTCCTCCCCGAACTTCCCGTGTTCCGCCAGGCCCCGGAGGGGTCCGAGGTGGGGCTGCGCCTTTCGACAAGTTCCCGCTTCTCCGAAGGGCCGGCCGCGGCTGGGCCCTGGCGGGGGGCACCCTCGGGGAGGCTGCGGGGAGGGGGCTTGGCCGCGGACACCCGTGGCCCGTACCCCGGCCCCCCAGGCCGGCGTGCGGGCGCCTTAACCCCAGAGCTGCCTGACAGCCTGGCGCCAGAGCGTCCTCCAGAAGACGCCTGCGAGGGAGGCCGAGGTCTGCACCTAGATCAACCCCATCAAGCCCCGGGGAGAAAAGTACAAGGCGGTCAGGTCCAGTTTGCAAAATGTAAAAAATACTTTGTGAAACCACCGAATACCGGCCTGCAAGAGCGGCGGTAGATAAGAAGGGTATGAGATGCGACCTACATGCAGGGTCAGGAACACCCAGACGGAGCAGCCTCAGGCAGCAGGGCTCAGGGCCCCCTTACAGCCAAAGCCAGCCAAGGGTGACAGCAGTCAGGATGGTGGTGGTCGTTGAGGGTCGGGGGGTGGGGAGCCTGCCTGGAACCGAAAAGGCCTGTGTGCTAATTAGAGTGGTGGTCCCAGGGCCTTCCACTCAGGATCCAGCTGTAGAGTCAGGGCTGGGACCTCTACTGTAGATTAAATTGCACCGAAACCGAACTGTAAAAAGGGCACTCCCATTTATCGTTCGGGGGCATCTAAACAGATGGCAGGGGGCCACCAGGGCTTCAGGGTGGAGGTGGGAGGGGGCGTGGAAGGGTGGAGCATCCATTGATTCCGACACCCTGTGTTTCTTCCAGAAAACAGAGCTGAATACCGTGAAATAATGAGCAGATCTCAGGGTGAGCTACATTCCTCTCTAGACTTCTCTGTACACTCAGAATATTTCACAGTTTTCAAAAAGGGACAAGTGAAGCACCGAGCCTGGAGCTGGGCGCCGTGGTCCACCTCTCTGACCTCAGTTTCTTGCTCTGCCTGTCGGGCCAGCATCATCCCTCGGGGACAGGTGTGTTAGGACCGTACGGGGCGGGGGCGGGTGCAACTCAAGTGCCGAGCCTGAGCCGAGGCAGCCAGTAGGTGCTCCACAAAGGGGGACGGTGTCAGGCCCCCTTTTTCCTCAGCGCTCCTGGCAGAGAGGAGGACTTGCTGGGGTAGGGAAGGTCTTTAGCCCTAGGCTAAACGGCCTATGATGGCTGGGCCCTGGGGCAGCTAAGGACAGTCCTCTTGCCAGATGCTTTCCCATGGCCACTGCTTGTCCAGCAAGGCCTGGGGGAGGCCAGGCAAAGGGGTGCCATGAACAGGGGGTGCCTATGAAGGTGTCTGAGCTGTACCGGAGTGGCCAATGGCCTGGCCTGACCTGGCCTGGCCTGGAAAGGCTTGTGTTTCTGACAAACGGGGCCAGCCAAGCCGGGCCCTGCTGTCCGGTCCTGGCTGCCCTGTCCCAGGGGCGAGGGTCACTCCAGGTGAGTCTCGGGGCCGGCACGTTCAACAGGACACGGGCCTGCAGGTCGCCTGGCCTTGGACCCCAGGTGGCCAGGTCCACGGGCAGCTTCCGTGGGCAGCGAGGGCACTGGATGGTGCGTGCCACCCGCTCAGTCCTGGGCCCAGGCCCGGGGAGTTCGGCGCAGGGGCTCGGAGGGCCGAGGGCCAAGCCAGCAGGGAGGGAACGGGGGAGGGTGTGGGGTCAAGAAAGGGCCTTCGGGAAGGGAGAGGAAGAGAAAGTAAAATGAGAGTCTGCTTTTCCTCCCGAGACTTAGGGGCCCCCACAGGTGGGCGCCGCACCCGGGCGCGCCGATGAAAGCCACCAGGACCCTGATGGGGAAGGAAGACCCCCAGAGGCAGCGAGGTTAAGGGACTAGGTCCAGGCTGACCCAGCTAATGACAAGCATGAGCAAGAGAGAGTTGTCAGAAACGTGGCCCGTCCCAAGTAGGAAGGGGCCAGGAAGCAGCCCAAGTGAAGGGGAGGCCCTCAGAGTAGGAAGGAGGGGCAGGGGGTCCCGGGCAGAGAGAAGTACATGCCAGCCAGGTGGGGCCAGCCTGGAGGCAGGACCAGTGGAAAGACACTGCTCCTGGGTGCCCTCTAGTGGGGACAGTCTCCCCAGGCGAGGTGACGTCCCCACAGGATGCACTGGGGACCAGCTCTATTCCCCCTGTACCAAGACCAGAGTTTCATAGGCACCCCCCGTTCATGGCACCCCTTTCTAAACCCACCCTCACCCCCGCAGGCCCTGCCTGCCCCAGGCCTTGCTGGACAAGAAGTGGCCGTGGAAAGTATCCAGCAAGAGGCACGTCCTTAGCTGCCCAGGGGCCCAGGTCATCCACCCACTGAACTCTCCAGCCGGAGCCTCCCAGCCACCCTATGGGGGCGGGATTTCTCCGCCCCTTTTCTGGATGAGGAAACTGAGGTCTAGAGTGCTGGGAACGCCCATCTCTCATGCCCACGAATGCACCATGGAACTGGGCGCCCTGAGTCTGGACACGGGGGTAGATGCAGATGAAGCTGAGAGTCTGGGTTTATTAGTCTGCCCGCTAGTGAAAGCAGCCCCTCCTCCAGCATCTGATGAATCCTGCCTTCTCTGGCTGGAAGGTACTCCAACGCCCTCACCTGAAGGGACCCCTCTTACAGGCTTTAGCTCCACCATCCCTGTGGCCTTCAGCCCCAGAACTAGGGTCTGATTTCAGCATGCCCCAGGGGCTCAGTGGTCGAAGTTGACCCCAGAGGAAACAGCTCATACTCCAAGGGCACCGGGCCACTGGACTGGGCTGGATCTACGGACGTGAGTGTGCATCCCAGAGTCAGAATGTAACGCGTCAGCTGGTGCAGCTGAAAGGGCCTCCACCAATTTGCTTGGTCTGTTGTCTGAAGTTACATTCCATCCCATCAGTGGTCCACGTTCACTGAGGCAGGCGTGAGAGGACTTCCCAGGCATGGTTGGAGGAAGAATCTGAATAGCACGTGTGACCTGCATGCCTCTCAGAAATATATCGGCAAGGCAATGCCAGCGTCCCTGGGCACCAGCAACCATCCTCTCTGGGCTGGTGTGAGGGGGGCAATACTCTCCTGCCATGGGCTCCTGATCCCAGGGGGCTGATGCCATCCTGAAGGGCAGAGGCCAAGTGCCGACCCTTGAGTGCTAGAGACAAGGTGGGCAAATGACACAGAGATGGGGCTATTTCCAGAAAGTTCTGGCCTGCAGGAATTTTGGATGGCAGCTAATGGATCCTGGTGTTCTTAGGAATGAAGTAGGTTTGCCACATACTAACTGATCACTTGAGCTATAAAATCAGAAAACTGGAGATCTGTAGGGAGGAAATCCCACTGGAGTCCACATACCCTAGAGTTTCTAGGGTTGAGGTATGTTATTCAGTGTATAATAAATACTCTTATTGGTCACTGTATCACACATTTGCGCTTTCAACTTGTGCTTGCCAATGCTAAGATGTTGAATCGTGTCTGACTCTTTGCGACCCTATGGACCGTAGCCCGCCAGGCTGCTCTGTCCATGGGATTCTCCAAAGAATACTGGAGTGCGTTGCTATGCCCTCCTCAGAGGATCTTCCCAACCTAGGGATCGAACCTGTGTCTCTTACATCTCCTGCGTTGTCAGGGAGGTTCTTTACCACCAGCGCCACCTGGGAAGCCCCTTAACTTGCTGACAACTGCTATCGCTACAGTATCCTTTTGTAATTTCTTTGTAATTCTATGCATTTTACTTTATGCATTGAAAGGCATGATTCTTATTGTCTGTGAATGGATGAATGGATCAACAAAATGGGTGTGTGTATATATATAAATATATATATATAATAGAATATGATTCTGCTTTTTTTTAATTAAAAAAATTTTTTTGTTTTTTTTTTAATTCTGCTTTTTTTTTTTTTTTAATTCTGCTTTTTAAAGGGAAGGAAGTTCTGACATATGCTACAAGGAGGATGAACCTTGAGGACATTATGCCAAGTGATTAAAACAGTCACAAAGAGACAAATACTGTACGATTCCACTGACCTGAAACAGCTACCATAGTCAAACAGAAACAGAAAGTAGAAGTGTGGTTACCAGGGTCTGAGGCTCTGGGGACAGGGTGAAAAGGGGAATTTACTGGGTATAGAGTTTCAGGTTTGCAAAACGAAAAACTTCTGGAAAGTTGTTTCGCAAGTGTGAATGTCTTACTGCTAGGAAGCTGCAATTAAAATGGGCTTGGTCAGTTCAGTCACTCAGTTGTATCCAACTCTTTGCAACCCCATGGACTGCAGCATGCCAGGCCTCCCTGTCCATCACCAACCCCCGGAGTCTACTCAAACTCATGTTCATTGAGTTGGTGATGCCATCCAACCATCTCATCCTCTGTCGTCCCCTTCTCCTCCTGCCTTCAATCTTTCCCAGCATCAGGGTCTTTTCCAATGAGTCAGCTCTTCACATCAGGTGGCCAAAGTACTGAAGTTTCAACTTCAACATCAGTCTTTCCAATGAATATTCAGGACTGATTTCCTTTAGGATGGACTGGTTAGATCTCCTTGCAGTCCAAGGGGCTCTCAAGAGTCTTCCCCAACACCACAGTTCAAAAGCATCAATTCTTCGTCGCTCAGCTGTCTTTATAGTTTAACTCACATCCGTACATGACCACTGGAAAAACCATAGCCTTGACTAAACAGATCTTTGTTGGCAAAGTAATGTCTTTACTTTTTAATATGCTGCCTAGGTTGGTCGTAACTTTCCTTCCAAGGAATAAGTGTCTTTTAGTTTCATGGCTGCAGTCACCATCTGCAGTGATTTTTGGAGCCCCCCAAAATAAAGCCTGCCACTGTTTCCACTGTTGGAAATAGGCTAGGAAAAGGCATATGTTATGTATATAATTACCACAATTTAAAAAACACAGGATGCAATAAACACAACAGGAACTCTTTAAAAAAAAAATTTTTTTTTTTTTTTAAAGCATGATTCCGAGAAGGGTCGCCTCAGTATCCTCAAATGCTAATGGCATCCGCGTGGGTGAAAGGTTAAGAGCCCTCGCACCTCCAATTGGAGGATCCCGACAGGAATTCCGGAGCAACCAGGGATTCTGGGAATGGTAGTTCACAGCCCCCAGCTGGAGCCTCGCGGAGAAGGGTGGGCTTGGAGCTGGGAGACAAAAGCTCCGAGACCGACATGGGGTGGGCGGGGGGTTCGAAGGATGCACGCTCGGCGCGCCCGGCCCTCACGCTGCCCGCCGGTCTCACACGCGCACACACACCTGTCCACTTGTGCCGTGCGGCACGTGGCGCTCCGGGCTGCATTCGCACACTTTTTCCAATACAGGTGCCCATCCGAACGTGTGCGGGTCAAGCTCGCAGACGCTTCCTCGCTCTTCCCGGAGACATCCCCGCTGGAGCAGGGGCCTCGGCAGTAACCGCGAAGGGCCGGGGCGGGGGGGTGATGCGCAGGAAGAGTGTGCCAGGCAGAGGGCACAGAGAGTGCAAAGGCCCCGAGGCAGGAGGTTGCGTGGCCAGAGGGATGGCTGGGGGAGAACGGCAGGAGACGAGGGAGGCTCGGCTTCGTTGGCCAAGGAGGGGCGTTAGGACAGGCCAGAGGCCGGCTCTCGCAGGTGAGCGCCGGGCCGCTGCCTAGTGAATTGAATGACACTTATTGTTCTCCGCGTGGGTGCAGCGGCGGCCTCGGAAGTGACTCAGCGGAATTCCTGGGCGCTGGGGGTGGGCGGGAGGGATGCTCCGAATAGGCTGGGGAGGGGGCGTTGCCCGCACAGAGGCCCCACCTCCGAGTTCTGGCCGCATCCACCCCGGAGTTCTCCACCCGCCCCCCATCTACAGCCCCGCCTTGGGCTTCTGGAGGGACCCGCGGGAGCCGAGGAAAGGAGGGTAGCGGTGGGCGTAGAGCCCAAGGGTTCAGGGAGAGAGGGAGGGAGCGGGGTGGACGGGGCCTTCTCCGCATCCTCGGGACCCCCCCATCCTTGAGCCTAGACTTGGGTGGACGTGGGGCGCCCTCGAAGGAATTGGGGTGCGGGGGGAGACGGCTCTCTTCAGTTCCGGAGGCCCAGGCCTTTGGCGGGGAGCTGAGCTGGCCCAGGCCGGCCCCCGTGAGTGACTCAGCCGGATCAGGACCTCTCTAGGACTAACTTCTTCCCCTAAATAAAGGGAACCATTCAGTAAGCATGCTCAAGCAGGTTCTCGGTCGCTAAGTCGCATTCAATCATAAAGTCGCTCGTGGCCGACTTGGCATTTGGGTGGGTGGGTGGGGGGAGGGTGCCAGGGTAGGCTGAGGTAAGACGATCTGAGCACTGGACTGGGGGCCCTGGTGAAAATATTCTAAGAAGTGAGCCTCAGTTTTCCAATGCATAAAACGGGTATATATAAAACCTCCAAGAATGAGACTTGCTGGAGGAAGCTGCACGCGATGCACCACCCGGGGTGGCCGGACTGAGAAGGTGAATTAGTGTACTTCATGGCCCAGCTCCAACCTGCCCTCCTTAGAGACAGCTGCCACCACCACCAAGACAAAATGTACGGCCTGTTCCCTCCTAGGGTCCGCCCCACCCCCAGCCCCCAAGGACCCCCCTGCCCTCTCCACCGCCCGACCGGGCTGCGGGCCGCCTGGCGGCCTCCAGGTGGCGCTGGAGACGCGCCTGCCGCGCCAAGCTGGGAGGGACTGGACGCGTCCTTTGGAAGAGGGGCGCTCAGGAGGCCACCCCAGGCCCACGGAGAAGCCCTTTGGATACCGCCTCTGCCCCCGCCACCAGAAGTACTGCGTTCAAAAAAGGCAAGATAAGAGTAAGTACACATAGGTATTTATGTGGTCAAGTTACAATGGAACAGGCTTTATCCCGAATTGGGGTCTGGAGCCAGTGACAGATAACTGATTAGGATGCTTATCGGAGCAGGACGGTTTAAACAGGGCCTGGGAAGGTGAGTAGGATATGGAGCAGAGGGGAGGGGGGATTCTAGGCTGGAAGGTGGGACTGGTTCCAACAAGTATAGACTTTTTACAGGAGTTCATTTCCCAGGTAAGAGGGTGGAATTTTGCAAGTGGAGTCTGATGGAGGTGGGTGATGGCCTAGCCTCACCCAGCCTGGGACTGGCCACGGTTTGTCTCAGAGTGGCCTCGGGGACATGGCAGGCGGTGATCCATCAGCGTGGTATCCTGGCACCACTGGCATTGCACTCTGATGAACAGACAGTGAGAAGTCACCCTGGGGACACAGCTAGCCAGCCTGCCTTCTCCCAACCCAACATCATCCGTAGCTCTCCAGAGCCCTGAGACAAAATCTGGGGCCTCAGCTTGAACCTCCCTGCCAACAGCCACTGGACATTTCCTGGCAGATGGAGACCAGGAACTTTGTCTGTGGGGCGCCGGACCAGGGGCAACCTCCCAGCCTCTTGGGTCAGAAAGGCATAGAAAGGGACTTCCCTGGTGGTCCAGTGGCTAAGACTCCATGCCCTCTCAGTGCAGAGGCCCGAGCTTCGATCCCGCTTGGGGAACTGGATCCCACATGCTGTAACTAAGAGTTCACATGCGAGCTAAAATGTCCTGCGTGCCGAAGCCAAGAACTAGCGCAGCCAAGAGAGAAAGAAAGGCATAGATGAGAAGGTCTTAGCACAGGTGCTAGGGTAGGCCGGCAGTGACTCTGGCCTCGGAGTAGTGTGTGTAGGGGGGTGGTGAGCACTGAGGAAGAACCAGGCCGTGACCCCCTACCCTGCACAGACTTGATCAAGGTCGGGCGGTAGAAAGGCCCTGTGCTGGGAGGCAGGTGTCAAAGTCTGATTTTCAAAAAGCTAAGGTCATGACTCTCATACACTTAGAAAATGAACATTTGTGAAAGATTTCGTTCAACTCATTAATTAATGAGGGAACAGTAAAATGGTAACATTGACGCAAAGAGCATTCTGGACCTGGGGTTTATATAGTCACTTAAAAAATACTAGGAGGAGATTCCTAAATTCCGGCTTCCCTAGTGGCTCAGTGCTAAAGAATCAGCCTGCCAGAATTGGCAGGAGACATGGGTTCGATCCCTGGTCTGGGAGGATTCCACATGCCCCGGAACAACTAACCTCTGGAGGGGCGATTACTGATGGCTGTGCACCGAGAGTCTGCGCTCTGCAGAAAGAGGAGCCACTCTAGTGAGAAGGTCAGGCCCTGCAGCTAGAGAGTCACCCCCACTCTCTGCAACCAGGGAAAAGTTGTGTAAAAATAAGCAAATAACTTAAATTTCTAAAGACGATTCCTAAATTTGATTTCACAAACCACCAAAACTTGACTAGTGTCCTCGGAGTAACCTTTGGTGTTATCTTTTGTCTCAGACACAAATCTACAAGTTAACCTGTAACTTCACCAAGTTTGAGCCCTTAATTAAAAGTAAATAGCAAGGCAAACAGAAGTTTGCTAGAGAGTTAGTTAACCCTTAGGTGGGCTCCTTACACACAATGCGGTCCTGCTCTGCGCCTCATTTCTAGGTCTCAGATAATCTTTCCAACACAGGAGATATGGGTACTCAGCTGGGCCCTGGCATATACCAAGATTGGGAACAGTTTTCACTCTTTCTTGCCTCAATTTCCTTAACCAAAGGGTTGGACCACATCTTCTTGCTCTGACAATCTCCTCCATCCCCCAAGATTGATTTTACCTTCCAAATAGATACACAAGACCCCCACTCCAGTCCACTTCCACCCGTACAGTAGCCCCAGTTCAGTTCAGTTCCGTCGCTCAGTCGTGTCTGACTTTTTGCGACCCCATGGACCGCAGGACTTCCCTGTCCATCACCAACTCTTGGAGCTTGCTCAAGCTCATGTCCCTCGAGTCGGTGATGCCATCCAACCCTCTCGTCCTCTGTCGTCCCCTTCTCCTCCTGCCTTTAGTCTTTTCCAGCATCAGGGTCTTTTCAGTCAGATCTTCACATCAGGTGGCCAAAATATTGGAGTTTCAGCTTCAGCATCAGTCCTTCCAATGAATATTCAGTACTGATTTCCTTTAGGATGGACTGGTTGGATCTCCCTGCAGTCCAAGGGACTCTCGAGAGTTAAATAACCCCACTCTGGTCCAAATGTCTTAGGGACCCCAGGAAGCTAGTGACTATTGGGTTCAGAAGGACTCGAAGTAGCCACAGTCTCCAGCTCCTCCAAATTGCTGTGTGATTTCAGGGAAATTTGGCCCCTCTCGGGGCTACAAGTTTCCAGTGGGGCAGAGGGCAGGGTGGAGGGGGACCTGTGGTTGCCTCCGCCTGCTGTTGGGAATTTGGGAATCCCCCTCCCCAACCCACCTCCCCCTTTCAACTGGATTCCATTCAACTGAAATGGATTCAGCCCCTGGGGAAGAAAGAACTGATAAACAACTAGTGGTCAAGAGCTTGTAAAGGACTTGTGATCTCCTAAGAGAATGAGATTCCCAGGTGGCTCACTGGGAAAGAATCTGCCTTCCAGTGAAGGAAATATGGGTTCATTGGTTTCAGTCCTTGGATAGGAAAGATCCCCTGGAGGAGGAAACAACGGTAACCCACTCCAGTATCACACACATCTAGCACAAACAGCACTCAAACAGGATTCAGGAAAGCCCCGATTCTGGTCCCAGTTTTGCCACTGCTCTCCTGAGTGAACTGAGGACATTGCCCACTGTGACCCTCAGTCTCCCTACCTGTAAAATGAGAATTAATTATCTCCCCAGGGTTGATGGGCTAACATGTCAGTGAACATCTTCACATTGCAAGAAATGGAAAATCCCAATGCATCTTTTCTAGAACAGCAAATATGGGATGTCAGGGATGGTATGATTGGGGCTCTGGCTCAACTTCTGACTCTCTAAGCATTGTCTTCTCCCCCATGGGTCAGCTCTGCCTACAGGATGGCCAAATGCTTGCTGCAGGTCCAAGTGGCACATCCATAGGGCATGGTGACTTGGGGCAGATGGCAGTGCTCTGGGCCAGGGTGCCAAGCATGCCCTGAAGTCACTCCACATTGGGCAACCGAGGTCAGGCCCATCCCTGAAGCCATGACTGTGGATGGGGAGGTCAGGGGGTGGCCCCAGCCTCAGGAGTTGAGAGGAAGAGCACAGAGTGGAAAGAAAACCTGTGTACGGTGCCTGCATGCTTAGTCCTGTCACGGACTGTAGCCCGCCAGGCTTCACTTTCCATGGGATGGTCCCAGCAAGAATCCTGGAGTGGGTTGCCATTTTCTTTTCTGGGAGATCTTCCTGCCTTAGGAATCTAACCGGGTCTCCTGCATTGCAGGCAGATTCTTTACCATCTGAGCCACCAAGGAAAACCTCAGCTGTCCTTAAAAAGAAGGGGAGGGTTGAATGTGGGGTAGGAGCCCTGGGAAGCATAGTGGAGGGGGAAAGGAGAGACTGACAAGGTAATTAATTCTTCAGGCGGGTTGAGGATGCGGCCATCACCCAGCCTTGGGGTATGTCTGGCTGGGAGGGGGCTGCAGTAGCTGAGGTGTGGATGGTGGAGGACGGAAGGGGCTCTGGAAGAGCTGCTGGGGGGGGACTCCGGAAACCACACCCAGAAGGAAGGCAGTCAGGCCCTGCCAGGAGCCTCCAAGCTCCCCGCACCTCCAGCTGCGCGAACTGCCTCCTCCGCCAGCAGGAAACGAGCGGGGGAGGGGAGGCTGAGCGCAGAAGGGGCCTGGAAGGGCCGTCCCGGGACGCAGCGGGAAGCGATCTGGAAGCGGGAGTTGCCAGGGGAGGAAGGACCCGGGTGCGGGGGGGGTCCCCTGGGGCGGGCAGGGCGCGTCCCCGCCGTGCGTCGCGGACCCGGGGGCGCCCCCTTCCTAGCCGCGCCCAGAGTCGGGGGCTTCCCCTATCGCCGGCGGCGGCGCCTCTGCTCGCCCGGATCCCACCGCTGGATCCCAGGCCCCTTTCTCCCCGGCACTGCCCCTCCCCTAGACCCTCCTTTTCCCCGGGGGCGCCCCGCGGACTCATCAGAACCCCTAGAGAACCCTCAACTGCGGCCCGAAGCAGGAGCCCCGCCCCGTCTCCCTCTTGGCCACGCCCACGCCCGGCCCCGGCCTCGCCATTGGCTCCGCAGAGCTGTGGCCTCCCTGGATTGGTCCGTCGTCGCTAGGCCACGCCCTCCGCCCCGCACAAAGACGGGGGCCGGCTCAGCCCATCCCCACCGCAAGACCCCAAGGAATTTGAGGGGATGGGTCCCCAGGCTGCGAGCCCAGCCTCACCCTGATCTCGGAGGCCTGCATGAGTCACAACCTGGGGGTTGTAATAATAACTGCGGTTGAGGTTGTTGTGAACCTCAGATGTGCAGACTTGGGGGTTCCGCCTTGGGGAAAACCTGGGGTCTCCTTACCCAGACCTCGCACCCCCTTACCCCCCAAGCCTGGCTCCGTTCCCGCCTAGGAGCTTACCTTCTAGGCCCCGTCCTTCTGCTGTTTCACCTCCCTGCCCTGTTGTGCTGGGGTGGGAATGGGTGGACTCAGTGATTACCGGTTACTTGATTTTGAAGCTGATACTATTGAGGAAACTGAAGTTCAGAGAGGGTAGGTAACCTGCCTCAAGTCACACAGCAGTCAAGAGTAGCCAGGAAATAATGAGGTGTGGGAAGAGAGGGAGAAGCCTGTAAATAGTGTGATCATCTGTGCCTCCTCCCCACACACCTGAGACTCAGCAGTTAAGTCACCAGAAGGATCTTTAGGATGAGACAAGGATGACCCCAGTCAGGCAGTCAGCCTGCAGGCTGGAGGAGGCAGTTATATTTTATTCGCTTTTTAGGGTCAGAACACAAGCCATTTTAATGCAGCTCTGAAGAACTCAAGGTTCTTTGTACACAACTTTCTTTTTTTTTTGTTGGCTGAGCCAACACAGCCTATGGGGTCTTAGTTCCCCTCCCCTGCCTGTGTCAAATCTGCTTCTTTCTGCAGTGGAAGCACGGAGTCTGAACCACTGGACTGCCAGGCAAGTCCTAGAATTTTATTTTTTTATCAGTGATTCACTTGCTGCCAAGGAATAGCACCATCCAACTGATACATAATGCAAGCCATAAATACAAATCACATATGTAATTTTAGATTTTCTTGTCTGGAGGAGGGGATTTTAATAAGGAAACTTGGCAGTGGTGTCTAGAGAGCCTGTATAGGCTTTGTTCCCACCTCCACCTCCAAGGCAAGTTTAATCTCCTTGAAATTTGCCTTATCTATAAAATGGGATGATAAGCCGTGAGGATGAGGAGAGACCCTGCCTGGTGCCAGGCACACTCTCGGGGTTGGATGTGCAGTACCTGTGTGACTGTGAAGAGTGAGGGGCCGAAGTCCACAGAACGTCAGTGGGAATCCTGGAGGAACAGCTGCCTTGGGCTCAAGGGTTCCGAGGGAGCAGCTGATGGGGCCTGTGGGCCTCAGGTTATGGGACCGCCAGAGCCAGGAGGGCAGGGCGGGTTGAGTGTCCAGGCTGCCCCAGGAAGGATGGGTGTGGGGGGACATTCAGGGCATGCCAGGCAGGGGCAGACAGAGTCTCCCTGTGCCCTGCAGGGACCAGCAGAGGGTGTGGGTGGGCGTGAGGACCTCAGACTTCCTGAAAGCACCTTAAACTCTCAAGAGTGGTTGGTGCTTCTGTAGTTCTGGGCAAGGGTGGGCGGATGGTGGGAACACTGGCCAGGACCCCTGGGTTCAGGCTGGAGGCATGTGGCATATCTCCAAGGGAGGGGTCAGGGCTGCCCGTGGGTGGCCTTGTCCTCCTGGAGGGACCCTCCTGTTTTCTCTGCTTCCCTGGCTTGTCTCCGGGGCCCTTCCGTGCTCTCTCCGGAACATGAAAATCCAACCCCCCTGGCACCTCCACGGTCAATGCAGGGCATAGCCACCACCCTCTGCTGCCCGGCTGCAGGCCCCCACTCCTGTGCACCCAGCGTGGGAGCCGTGGCAGCACACCGTGCTCCGCCGCGGCCAGTGGCTTTAGGACTCAGTTGCTCCAGAATGGAAATGAAAGAAGGGCCAAAGGGGAGAGGAAGGAACATGTCTTCTCTGTTTCTCGCTGTATCTGGAAAGCTCCTAAGTTTGCGCTTTTTAAATTTATTATTTATTTATTATTGGCTGCTCTGGGTCTTCGTTTCTGCCCAGGCTTTTCTCTAGTTGCGGCGGGCGGGGGCTGCTCTCTAGCTGTGGTGTGTGGGCTGCTCCTTGCGGGCGCTTCTCTTGCTGCCGAGCACGGGCCCTAGGGCGCACAGGCTTCAGTAACTGCGGCCTGTGGGCTCAGCAGCTGTGGTTCCCGGGCTCTAGAGCACTGTCTCCGTAGTTGGGGCCACAGGCTTAGCTGCTCTGTGGCAGGTGGGATCCTTCTGGACCAGGGATCGAACCTGTCTCTTTAGCAGCATGCTATCAGGGAAGCCCCAAGTGCGCACTTTTTAAGGGACACAATTCCTTTCTGTTTAACGTGAGGCAGAGCCCTCCCCACTCATCGTCAGCTGGACCCGCTGCCCAGGGAGGGGGTCTGGGGCTTCCAGGAGCAGGTTTGGGTCGGAGACTGGTGGGGAAGCTGGACAGGGCGCTGCGGGAGGGCGGTGGGAGGGGGTGGCAGGGGCCTCTGGGCGTCTCCTCTCCCTTTTCTCCCAGGACAGTGGCTGTCAGCTGAGGGAGATAAGGGGCTCGATTGGGCCCTGGTGGAATCACAGCCTCCTGCTGCTGCCTGGAGGAGGAGAGCTGCCCCGAGGATGCCCTGCCCCCAGCCTCCAGGGCCCTGACCCCCTTCACTCGGCACCTTCAGGGAAGGGCCTTGTCCTGACTCCAGGACTCAGTCACTCAAGGCAGTGTCTTTCTGTCTTTCCTTCCGTCTTCCCCCACTCTCTTTCTCTGTCTTTCTTCAAATGCAGAGTGCACCTACCTTGAGTCTGTATCTGTGGAGAAGTTTGACCAGGACGGGTGGGGGTTGTCCAGGTGCAGCTCAGCTGAACGGAGGTGGGTCAGAAGGCTTAGTCTGGAGGGGACAGAGAACCTAAACTTTCTCAGTAACTCTTACATTGATTATATATTGAAATGGTCATATTTGGGGCATACTCAGATAGCATATTAAAAAGCAGAGAAATTGCTTTGCCAACAAAGGTCTGTCTAGTCAAGGCCATGGTTTTTCCAGTGGTCATGTATGGATGTGAGAGTTGGACTGTGAAGAAGGCTGAGCACCGAAGAATTGATGCTTTTGAACTGTGGTGTTGGAGAAGACTCTTGAGAGTCCCTTGGACTGCAAGGAGATCCAACCAGTTCATCCTAAAGGAGATCAGTCCTTCATTGGAAGGACTAATGCTGAAGCTGAAATGCTAATACTTTGGCCGCCTCACGTGAAGAGTCGACTCGTTGGAAAAGACCCTGATGCTGGGGGGGATTGGGGGCAGGAGGAGAAGGGGACGACAGAGGATGAGATGGCTGGATGGCATCACCGACTTCATGGACATGAGTTTGAGTAAACTCCGGGAGTTGGTGATGGACAGGGAGGCCTGGTGTGTTGCGATTCATGGGGTCGCAAAGAGTCGGACACGACTGAGCGACTGAACTCAACTGAACATGGGTTAAATGGGGCTTCCCTGGTGGCTCAGCTGGCAAAGAGTCTGCCTGCAATGCGGGAGACCTGGGTTCAATCCCTGGGTTGAGATGATACCCTGGAAAAGGGAAAGGCTACCCACTCCAGTATTCTGGCCGGGAGAATTCCATGGACTGTATGGTCCATGGGGTCACAAAGAGTTGGACACGACTGAGCGACTTTCACTTCATGGGTTAAATAAAACATTATTAAAATCAATTTCCCGGGTTTATTTTTACCATTTTAAGGAGGCTGATGGAACATTTAAACTTATAGCTGAGGCTGACACAGAATATTTCCAGCTCCCAGAAGCCTCCTGGAGTCCCCCCTGGCCAGCACCTCCCCAACTACTTTGACTGTTCTTGAACTTCATAAAAGGAGTCACTCCTTCCTATCTGTGGGGTCCTCTGTGGGCTACCCAGGTGGTGCTAGTGGTAAAGAACCTGCCTGCCAATGCAGGAGACATTAAGATGCAGGTTTGATCCCTGGGTTGGGAAGATCCCCAGGAGGAGGCATCCCACTCCAGTATTCTTGCCTGGAGAATCCCATGGACAGAGGAGCCTGGCGGGCTACAGTCCATGGGGTCGCAGAGAGGCAAAGAGTTGGACACGACTGAAGTGACTAAACACACATGCACGCACGGGGAATTTAACAAACCAGACTCAGGACGGGGCCGCCACAACAGCCGGGTCCTTGCCTTGGGCAGCTCACAAATAGTGGGAATGATGCCAGGGAGTCCGAGGGGCTGAGCCCACATCTGGACTGGGCTGAGTCAAACTGTGACCCTCGCCTGCAAATTCATGTCCACCTGGAACCGCAGAATGTGACCTTGTGTGCAAGTGGGGTCTTTGCAGGAGTCATTAGTTAAGGATCTCGGATGAGATGATCCTGGGATGTGGGTGTTTTTACAGGAGAAAGGAAAGGGAGGGGACTTCCCTGGTGGTCCAGTGGCTAAGACTGCATGAACCCAGTGCAGGGGCCCTGGGTTCAGTCCCTGGTTGGGGAGCTGGATCCCACAGGCCGCAACTAAGAGTTCACCACAACTAAAGATCCTGCCTGCCTCGACCAAGACCCAGTACAGCCAAATAAATATGTATAAAAATAGATATTAAGAGAGAGAAAGGAGAGGGAGATGAGACTGGGGGACCCAGAGAGACACCAGGAAGGAGGTCCTGTGAAGACGGAGGCCAAGGACACCTGAAGCCACCAGGGGCTGGAAAAAGCAGGGAGGAGCCTCCCCTGGAGCCTCCCAACAACCCTGCAGGCACCTCGGTTTCTGCTGTCTGGCCTCCAGAACTGTGAGGGAATAAACTCGTGCTGTTTGAAGCCAGCTGCAGCCGCAGGATAACCCTGCGCGGAGCCTTCGGGAGCCCTTGGAGCGGCTCTCGGGAAGGGAGGGGAAGCTGAGGCTCGGGGAGGGCAAGCGAGTGAGGCCTCCTCACAGAGCACAGGTTTGGGACCCACCCTGACCAGCCGGGCAGCAAGTCCCTGCCCCTCTCTGAGCCCCAGCATCTTTCTGCTTGAAGGGCTCTGCTGAAGGTGGACAGACACCCTCCCACTCAGGGCTGGGGGGCGCCGGGGATGGCAGGGAGGGGTCCCCTGTGAGCTTGACTCCCCAGCGACACGGATGCTGCAAGAATCCACCGTCAGCAGCACCCCGGGGGCCCGGAGGCAGAGGTTTCTAAGGCATTCCTTGGTCAGGATTTTTGCCTTGCACAAG